TGCTAAATAAATATAAATAAAGAGTAATGTGATAAACGAATACAGAAAGCAATGTGTTAAACTATTAACTGTAGATGCTTCATGCCTCCCTAACTGATCTAAAATTTGCTCATTTAAGCGTGCCTGCCAACATCGGAGAATTTTTGCTTTCTTTTTAAGGAAAACATAGAAATTTAATTTTTTAATAAAAATTACTACAGTTTAATTATTGATGCGTATATGCTTGGCTTGATTGATTACAATTTATTGAATGACTAAATTGGTTTTAGGCTTAGTGACATTTTTAAACTAAAATTTACAATTGATTTATTAGATAGATAGACATAGCAATGATTATATTATATCTACAAAACTCTGCAACATAATACAGGATATGGATTCCAAAGAAAATTTTAAAAAGCATAATGTTTCACAGTTATTAACTACTGACAAAGACCATAAATTAACAGAAAAAGGGAAAGAGTTCAGGAAATACTGGAAATAAAAAGTTAGTATTTTATTTTACCTGTTTTTTGTTTAATCTTTCATATGCAGTTCTCCGAAACAATTATAGTTGTATAATCCTTAACTATTTGCATTATGTAATTAAATCTTGATTTTAATGTTATAGTCGACTCCCGATTATTCACAGGAATAACATCATTCAGGACATTAGCCCTTGATTTAAAATTCCGCTTAATTCCAAGGCAGTTATAAAAAACACAGAAAATAGGAGCCCGCATTAAAGTTAACGGGAATTTACTATTAACCTGTTACCAAGCAGATTATCCTGGAAAAATAAATTCATTTGGTTAATGTAAATTAAATTTCTTTCGGTGGATAATTTAACAATATTTATATATTTACTGGATTGCGTACAGTAACAAATAAATATAATTCTCAAATACCGTGGAATATTCTGCCATCACTGCTCATTTTCAATGCATTCCCAAGCATTTTTTTTCCAGTTTTATTTTACTCTGAAGGTTTATGATAATAGATGTTCTCTCGTTTCACAGTAAAGAAATTTTACTTTTTTTGGACAAAGCACAGCAGTTAGTCCAGCCTCTCTTGATCGGGAGTTGACCGTAGCTTATTTTTAAATCTTGTTTCAGAACACCTTTCTTTATTTGGAATACCCAATATAAAACATTTTAACTGCTAACGTCTTTCACACCTCACAGCAAAAAGCTCAGTTGTTTCTTAAATAAACTGTATCATTTTACGAAACCTTAAAACGTATAAGAAAACTGGCGTATTTGGCGTAAGGAATGAGTTCTTTTTCGTTACAACATAAACAAACTTAGTACAGTTAACACTGTTTTTAAGTGAAATGCAAATACGGTCCTTCAAATGTCTTAAAACAGTGAAATGTAAAACTATGTTTGGGGGAAAAAGGTTAGTCTTGAAAAACCCATTGTATAAGATAATTACTCTATCTTCTATATACCAATAGTCTTTACATTTAGTTGTCTTAGGTAAGCGATAAAAAAAAAAAAACATTATTTTTTTTTAATTTTATCATCCTCAGAAATTTATTATGTTAATATAATTGTAAAAATACATGGCATTGAAAATAAATCGAATATTACATGCATTTTATGTGAAAAAATAAGATTAAAATCATTACTTCTGGAGATGTGACATTGGAAACCTACGATTCATGAAATAAGATACGGAAACTTAAAATCTTCGCACTTGTTTGGTCACTTATATCTTTCGAAACCTTACTCTAAAAGATTGATAAACATTTTAATTCAGAAATCTGGAAAAATTAGGTTTTACTAACGTCAAGTAAAGATGTAATAACGCGATTATTGCAGTTTCAGTAATCGTCACCGCAGGTGGGGCTCTGAGCGCAATTTTCTTAATTTTTCTAGGGATAATTTAGCATCCCTTTATATTTTTTTATCCTTTTATCTTTTTGTTACTTTGAATTAAAGTGATTCTGATAAAGGGGGGGGGAGTTATAAGCATTACTAATGTAAGTATATTTTTAAAATCTTTATGTCTATTAAATTCGATTTTCATTAAACGCAGAATTTTAATTTTGCTCTAATTAAAACTTATCCGTAATTCTGTTATACATTTTAAAATGTGTAAATTGTACTTAGTTTTATTGTTTATTAGAAAGTGTTAAATGTAATATAATCTGTTAATGTTTAAACTCGTTGCTGTAAAATGGGTTATGCAAAGTAAACAATTACTATTTAAAGTCAGCTTTTTATTATTAAATTCAATTTTATTCATTTAATACAAATCGTATTAATATTTAATTCCACACTTTGTGACTTTATCATGTGAAGAAAAATTGGTTTTTTAGAAACAAAACGGCAATAGCCATTTCAGTACCTCAAAATCGTTTAAAATAAAATGCAAATTGCAAATATACATGCATCCAAATTTTTGGAAAATTATTTTACAAATTTTAGCGGGAAAGTTTTAAATTTGGAAACTGAGAAAAAAATTATTCTCTCATTTGTGAAAAGTAGCAGTTGATCAAGCATGATTAAAGAGGTAAATAAAATTTCTTGTTTACATTTCTTATAGAGAGTTTAAAAATGCATCAACTTCCTAAACATTCTTTAATCTTATGGAGAATTTAGGTAGGCATTATGCATTAGGTATCTTATAGAGAATTTTTAATAAAGGATTACATTTCTTTATAAAAATGATATAAAATGTATATTTGAGTTAAGAAGATGCACTATAAGAGTCCTATTTTATATAAGTTCATCATAAAAAAATATGAGCAGTATAATATACTTTAGTATTGCTATATTATGTTATTAAGTCATTTACCGTTAATCATGAGTAGTTTTAAGCTGCTTTTTGTATAGCGGAAACATTTCATTGCCTTTAAACTATTGAAATAGTCTCGAATTTAAAATTTTAATTTATTAAACTTCAAGTATTTATTGAATCCATTTCTTATATTTAATAATGGATTACTGTGCGTTAAGCATTCACTATCATAAAACAGACAAAGGTAATTAATTTACTAACCCGAATAATTAACATCTATTATAAAAAGATATATATAGATTCTTAATATACTTTCTTGAAATTATCTTCGAAAACTAGGAATAAATGCAAAGTTATTCTTTTGAAGCTTATTCAGTAACTCTAATTTTGTAAAATTACAGTTTATAATAACTGGGCTAACTTTAGTATCTTTATGGATGTCAACTTTCTCATTCGTCCCCCCTTCCAAATAAAAATGTTCTATTATTAAATTCTCCCTTCCTCGGCTGTTGCTTCAAATATATTCAAAATATGTACTTTTCAATCCAATATTTCTTTTAAAGGCAAAAATATTTCATTAGCTAACCTTTATTTTTCAATAGGCATCTAGCCACTCATTTAAATAAGTATTCCAACGAAAAATTAAAGATGTTTTTTCAAATATTCTTTCATTCACCTTCATTCAAAACAACTGTACTTTTTTAAATTAAATGTTCTGAACAGTTAAATTTGCGAAAGATCCAAAATGACATAATAATCATAATAATTACGCGTATCTTCCAATTAAATATTATTAAAATAATTTTGAACAAATTTTAAATTAAGGCATTCAAAAAAAAAAAAAAAAAAAAAAAAAAAAAGAAAGAAAAGAAAGAAAGAAAAAAAAGAAAAGAAAAGAAAGAAAAAGAAAAAAAAATTAAGAGAAGAAAAATTTTAGTTTATTTCATAAAATGAATTTCTTCAAAAATGTCACAAATGCATTATAACCTTCCAAATAAAACTTGAATTTATTTCCAAAATAAGGTGCTTTCAAAAGTATCATACAAACGTTACTTTCCCAAAACATTTCCGAAGCGGTTAATTTTTATTCTTAAATTTGCTCAAAAAGACGTTTATAAAATGCAGTGAAACAAGAAAGGAAAATAAAAGAGGTAAAGAAAATTTTACCAGCTAGAAACTTAAATTTCTTATTTAAAAAATTATTAAAACGTTTTATTTCTTAAAGCAAACAGTCTAAAAATATATCTCTTTCGTTTCAAAAATTAACGATTAATAAATTATAAAAAAATACAACTTCAAATGATCATAGAATTAAAAATTTGTGAACCTATTGTAAAGGAGATTTATTGCAAATCCCCAGTCTTTAATTCTGTTTCATGCTCAGATCTGCTACGCGGAGTTCATTGACCTCTAGCACGATGAGGATGAGGTGGAGAGGGAAATAAGTTCCTGAGTTTTGATAACGATTAAATGAAATCCAACTACTTTTGCCAGATACAAAATATAAACAATCATCCCAACATACTCTCATCTCTTCTTTATCAATTGCGCTCTCAGCAGTCGCTTGCATATTCCAAACTTTAGTTAGCTCGAAAATTTTGATTTAAAAAGAAAGCAGTTTTAACATCGGAGAAAGTCTCTTATTTTCCATAAAAACACAACTATGGTTTGAAATTAATTAGAGGAATTTTCTCGTTTTGAGATAACAGAATAACTCAATATTTTTGAGCGACATTTGCTGTTTTTTCACTTAACCTGCAAACGATAACGCGCGACTTCCTCACCTGCAAAGTATTATCATTCTGCAAAAACACTCCCATCATCCCTTTGAGAAAGATGTTTGCCACACGCGCTGTACAGCAAACCATCAAAGACTTATCGCTGCTGAAAAGCAAGTGGCTGATTTTCTGAGCAGCAAATCGAAACGACGGTCAAGTGTGCGAATGAAGAACGCCCATTCCAAGGTAGTATTTCCCTCTGGAATAGAAGAAGCAAGAAAAAAAAGGGGGAAGTTGTCATCCACACATTCATAAAAGATAGTAATAATAACAAAAAGAAAAATTCGAATACGTGCACGAATGATAGAGCAAAAAGAAGAAAGAAAAACTAAGGTAGAAAAAATAACAACGAAAAAGTAAAAAAAAATCTGTGGGCGTGCAGATGGGAAAACTGGCTGCCGCCTTTACCAGGTCATCCAAACCTTAGCGGAACTTGGCCCGGTGTGCGTAGATGGGAGGGAGGGAGGCGGTGCCTTTATACCCCCCGCGTCCAATAGTAGGGCAGCCGGCCAACCCCGCCACTATCCAACCTCCCTATAAAAATCGATCTTTACATCGACCAACATTGACAATCGCTCCAGTGTCAAGTCATGCTCAGCTTACCGTTTTGGTTCTCCCATCTGACGTCCACTAGCCGGACTTTGATGGTATTCGCTGGAGTCCTGCTTGTTGTCCGGATATGGATGTCTCGGCTGAGGCGACTTGGAAGCAATCCTCTTCCGCCAGGACCAATGGGTTTGCCTATTGTGGGTTACTTGCCATTTCTGGGAAAGGACTATCATCTGACTCTCACGAATTTAGGCAAAAAGTTTGGATCAGTCTACCAGATATACTTAGGTGCGAAAAGAGTAGTCGTTATCAATGATCATAACCTCATCCGGCACGCTTTCAAGCAGCAAGTCTTCTCCGGTCGACCGGACACGGAACTGACAAAAATCTTACAAGGTTACGGTAAGTGAACATTTTGATCCGATTTTTCTAGCATCCTCAGAATGATAAACTAACATAAAAGCATCTCCCATAGCCAATAAATACCACCGAAGTTTGATAGGCTTTAAAACAGTATCATGACTATTTTATACACAATCTAATACCAAAACTGCAAATTTTATGTTTACTTTACTCAGAATTCCGTTAAAATTTCAGCCAGTAAATGTCTAAGAAAAACGGAGATTCTTAACACACCAAAATCAATTTTCTAGCCATTTAACGATTTTCTTATTGGAAAAAAAAATTGCTTTGCTTCTATTTAAACATTTCGGTCTACAAAATGCTACATTTTAATACTATTGTTTTCCGAAATTTCCCCCAGTTAAAGAAATCATTAATATTGTAAAATAATACTACATGTACGAAAAGTTTTTTTACTGAAGAATTCTTATTTCATGCTACAGAATGCGTTTAGTAATATAATTTTAATGGCATGCTAAAGAAATTTGATTTTCTTAATTATTATTATTTGTTTAAAGTAAAATCATTGCTTTTAACTCTTAATTTTTGTCTTTCACTCTGCATGCAGAATTTTTTTATTATTATTATTTTTAGAAACTGAATTTTATTTCGTATTCCAAAACTGTATTTATAATTTCTATTTAATTTACTTTTCTTTATTTATAATTTTTAGTAATGAATTTTCTTTCAAAACCTGATCTTATTTTTTATTTCATATATTTATTGTTTTGCAATTTTGCATTGCATATTTCTTTTTTATTTTGAGCAATAATTTTGATATGTTACAAAGTTCACGACTTTAATATTTATTAATTATTAAAAATGGAATAGTATCTCGTTATTGCTAGTCTTAAATGGATTTATTAAAAATGAATTGTTATTATTTTGTTATTATTATTATTATTATTATTATTATTATTATTAAAATGAATTAGAGTAGTAATAGTAAAACTGATATTTATGCAATATGAATTATACCATTATAATTCTTAAAAACAAGTATTAAAAGCGAAATATTAGGCTTATTAATAAGACTATTTTTAACATTATAATGCTAAAACCACTGTTGTTTATTTTTTCTAACGTTTTTAATAATATTTACATAACATGTAATCTACAGCAATAATATGGATTAGGAATTTAAAAATATTGTATTAAATAGTCACACCAGAAGATCTGAATTACCTAAAATTACATAATAATTTTTCATCATAGGCGTCATCAACTCCGACGGCGCTCGATGGAGAGAACAGAGATCTTTCATACATAGTGTCTTACGTGATTTTGGTGCCAAAAACTTTGGACCCAGCAGAGATTTCTTACAGAATAATATACTGGTAAGTGAATCTTAAATATAGTGCATTCTGTAAGATAATAATTAGTGAAAATTTAAAAAAAAAAACTTTAAAAATTTCTAACATTCAAAGAAAAAAGAAAGTTCTCCCCCCCCCGTAAAATTTACGGTTTCAGTGCCCAGTCTATCTCAGTTTAAAGAAAAGTATCTAGCTTGATTTTAGAAGCATGTAAAGAATTATCGGTATATAATATGAAAATAATTAACTTGCAAATTTGTTTCATCCTCTGTAATAAGAAACTATAGAACAGAGCAGTCTAAAAATATTATTTTTTGATTACATTAATATTTATTGATTACATTATTTTCTAATTTTTCTGCCGTGATATCGTGCTTTAGTTATCGCAATTCCCTCAGTACTATTTATATACGCTTTTAGCTATTTTGGGATTAAATTTATAATTTTGTTCGGAATATTTATACGATGCGGTTGCTTATGAACACAAAAACACATCTATTGTGGAAACAAGCAACTCATCTACGAGAAAGTTTGATAATTTTAATGTGTTAAAAATGAATGATTCAACTCTAAAAATAAATTCATATGCTAGAATTCGCTGAAACAAAATCTGTAAAACAAGTGATTCATCTACTGGTATACTATACTTCTTAATTTTAAAGTGTTAAAAATAAATTATTAAACTCAAAAGTTATAAAATTTTGAAATTTTGGCTGAATTTTGAAATTTAGATGCATATGTACAAACATTAATATATTGATAAAATCTTGATAATTTTCATTTCAGCGTTAAAAAAACATTAGAAAGTTAAAACCATGTTTACCTTTATGTTATTCCGCCGAATATTCGATCTTGATCGCTTTCGTTGCATTCTGTTGCCAAAATACCACGACTTTATTACAACTAGCAAAATTTTTATATAATTATCATAATTAGAGTGAAAAAGCCTAAAAATGTCCAGCTTTTTATAGTAGTTCACAGGATGGATAAACTTAAATATTCACGATTTTCGTGAGGAAAAATCAGTATTTACTTAAATGATAAAATAACAATCACATAGAACACATATGTTACTTTAAAAGATTAATATCACTAAAAGCTTGAAACAGTTTTGGGTAGCTTCTACTGCAAAAATTTAATATCCATTGTTGGCTGATTACTAAAAAAACTGATACGTGTTTGATTTTGATCTGAATTAAAATTTTTATTGTTGTTTTTAATGATAAAAACAATTATTTATTATGTTAATGATTGAAAATATTCATTAAAACAGTTTAACCCGAACTTAATAATTAGTGCCTTATCAATTATTCTGGCATTTTCCATAAAGATGCGCTTTTTGATTTAAAGCATTTAAGTATAGAATTATTTTATAGAGTACAATGCAATTAATAATTTATGTTACATATTACGAAAAAATGAAAATAAATTAAGTAAGACCAATATTTATTTATAACATTTACTTCTCCTTGTCATTACTGATACTAGTGCTTCTATAACAAAATAACCATTTTTCAAAATTCTATTGTGTTAAAAAATATGTCCTTCAAATATAATCCTATAAAATAATTATAGAACTGAAAAATTAAAATAACCGTTTAAATATTCCTGTTCTCTTATTACTTTCTACCTCTTTCGTTATCATTATTATTTTGTTATTATTGCGAATCATCAAAACGCATCATAATTATTAAACTATAGATTTTTTTTTTCCTTTAAAAACAAAAGTTTTGCTCTTAAAGAACAGAGGATTTCGAAAACAAGAGAATTTTTTTTTTTAATCTGTGTCAGTTCTAAGATTGCAATTTGCTTAATTTTAAATTTTACATTAGCGTGCTTCCCTTCCAGTTATAATACAAATGTTTAAAAGGCCTAGAAAATGTGAGAAGGTCTTGAAACCAGTAATTAAATTATTATAATCATTGTTTTTCTTACATTATTATCACGGGCAGAATATTTGCGCTACATTTGAACGGTTATTGCATAAGCCTAACAGACATAAGAAAAAGTAAATTCTGAATAATAATTGCAATAAGTTAAACTCTGACTGCGAATTAAAAGTTTTCAGTTTTGCAATTGTAACTGCATTTAACTATTTTCACATAAATGAAAACATGTAAATGCATTTAAAACTGTAATAAGACCTAATTATACCAGAGGCGTCCAGTAAAAAATTCTCTCCAAAAGGACCTGGAATGCATGTAATAGTAGATAATCTCTGGAGCATCGTTCGTCCAATAAAATACTACACAAAGCGAATTACACAATCCTTCCCAACATGCACTGCAAAGAAGCATCGGAATTCCCTCCAAAACCGGAAAGCCATTCATGCGCGCGAGTCTCGGTTTCCGTATTTTTTACGGCAAGCCGAAAAGGCAAAAAATAAAAAACCGAAACAAAATGGCGATGAAAGAAGAGGAGAAACGGGTCTCAAAAAGGGAGAGAGAAAGAAAGGCAAGAGAAAGTGTTTCACCGGGTGGCCCACTGCTGCGTTAGGAGGCGGAACGAACTGGATCAAGGACGTTCGTAGAGTTCGACGACCCCAGACTTCTCTCCGCTTTCCATTTGGGGATTGAGCGTAAAATCGGGCGTTCTTGTTTTTAGGTTTCCCTTGCGTAATTCTACGCGTTCTTAATACGGAATCCGGTGAAATATCGTTATAACCAAAGCATGGCGCCTGCTTTTATTTCAAACTAGGAAGTAATTACAGAATATATATAGTAGATATTTATTATTTCATTAGCTGGAGAGAATAAAGTTTAAGCTAAAAATTATTGTTAATTCGTAACTAATAATTAATTTCTTTGCATTTAATCGTTGGTCATATATCAGATGATAGACATATATATTTACACACACGTATATATAGATATATATATATAATCAAGAGACATTAATGAAATCAAAATTAAATCATGAAAGGCGAGTTACTTGCTAACAAGAAATGCACATATCAAAATTGAATAAAATGAAGGATGAAAAAGAGTTTTTTTTAAATCAAAATTATGAGGAAATAAATGTGAAAACAAATCAGTTTAAATAAATTACATAAAAATTAAAATAATAAAAAGCTACGGAAAAGTTCCGAATTGAGGAATAAAAATAGGAGGCCCTTAGCCTAAAAAGTAATATGACTGAAAAGCGCTTGATATATAATATATATATATTCAATGATATAAAATTCATTGTCCCTCTTTTTGATACATTCTTCTAAATTTATATTAGGAGATAATATAATCAATATTTCTTTAGTAAATAAATTATTATTATCTTACTTTGCAGCTATTGCGCAAGTATTAGAAAAACTTGTTTTCGAATTCAATGAATTTTACATCATTCTATTATATATATATATAATTAATATATTATAAGTATATATTATAAATTTAGTAGAATGTATTAAAAAGAGGGAACCCATGTGTAGGAAGTTTAATTCCGAAAATTGTGTTTTAAAGGAACTTCAATGTAAATCACGAAAAAAACTTTTTAAGGGGACCTTGTGTAAGGAGATAAGCAGTCTAAGACTACACAAAGACAATAACTTTAGCTAAAGGCTTGCTGAACCTAACTTTAGCGGTGGAAATTACACTAACAATTCCTTAAAACATTTCGTTATCAAGGATTATTAACATTTCGGGAGAAGGGTCTATACGAAAAGCGAAGCAATGGCGCCAAATAACAAATACTTAACAAAAATTATTTGCATTTTAACTGAAATTTTATTAATACATTGGATATACCAAAACATTTGAAACATAATCAAACCATTAATTCAGGTAAGGAATTTCCGTCGGACGATGTATTACGCATGATATATTCCACATACATAAATTTCCTTCATTAACTAGCACGGTTTTAGAAAAGGATCGTTCGGCATCGAAACTGCTTATTGGTAATGATAGGCAAAGGAGAGGACTTTCTGCAATTTTGGGAAATGACGTTTTCTCATATTTCACAAGTCCAAAAAAACTTAGTAATTCCAAGTTCAGTCTCTTAATTTTGGATTTTGGAATAGGATTACATTGCAGAGTATGCCTGAAGTTGCAGGTTATGGGGAAGCACTATAAAATAAATTCATGTATTACCTAATAGTTATAACAGAACTTTAAAAAAATAACTGGAAGAAATCAGAAATTGAAGGATTTATTCTACATCTGCGCAAAAATGTGTAATTAGTAGTGAAAATAAACGCGGAAATTCGTGTTGTGATAAAACAATAACTTAAGCAAATACATTATAACTTATAGTAACTTAAGTGATAATTCATTTAACTTAGAGTAACTTAATAATTTATGTCAGTTTTTGTATTTAACATCACACGTGGTCTTTGATTTTCAGTTAAATGCTAAAATTGTGTAGTATGTCGCTTTAGATCAATTAGGTAGTGAGCTATTTCCTTGCTTCTTTTCCAGAAACAAGTGAGAGGATTTCTAACGTCTTTGAGGGCAGCTTCTGGCTCCCCATACTACGCTCGAACTTCCTTGGCCCGAGCTGTCAGCAATGTGGTTGGATCTATCCTGATGAGCGTTACCTTCGAGGAAGACGACGAAGGCTTCAAGCGCCTTCTGGCCCTGTTTGATGAAGGCTTCCGCCTCTTGACGCTGGCTGTGCCCGTCAACTTCATCCCTTCTTTGCGACATATGCCTGGTTGGAACCACTCCTACGCGAAAATTGTACGCAATAAGGAGGAAACTGCTGCATATTTTCGTGAGATCGCCGAAAAGCACAAAGAAACTATGGACGAAGAGACAGTGAGGGACTTTGTGGATGCCTTCTACCTCCAACAAAAAAAGGCTGAAGAATCCAATGAACCAACTTTCTTCTCTGGTGAGTATCTTTCTTTTATTACATCGCGAGAATAATTTTATAGTGTAGCCAATGAGATATACCTTTGTTCCATTCCTTAAGAAACTTTGCTAAGATTTCATTATGACTACTAGCTTTTGCAGTGTAATGTATCTCTGTAATCAGAGGCATATAACAGCCTACAACTCCCTTAGTTATAATAAAATTTCAATAAATTACTGAATATGTAAGTGGAAGTTTAAGTCTTCAAAAAAATTTGACTTTCTAAATGAACGATGGGAATCACATGAATCTCGGAGCCTTGCTTTGGAGGATTTGTAATTAATGTCTATGAGGTTTTGATAGGAAAACTTAATAATATACAGTTAGAAATTAGCTTTACTAGTGATAATATAGGTGCTTTTCGCGGTTTTTAGATTGAAGCCCAACCAATTTAAAAATCAAAAGCAACCTCAGCGTTTGCTCTTTAAGTCCATTTGGCTTTCTGTCTCAGTGAAGGATTGATTTTGAAGTGGAAACGATAGAAACATCAATTCGTTCAATTAGTAACTAATTCATTTTCGCATCAAACTAAACAAAGCAATTTTAAACATTTTCACTGACCATTCCTAAATCTGGCAAAATCACAGACGATATTCTTTAATCCCTTTTGCCAATCACTGGTTGTACCACCGATTTATTTTCATTCTTTTAGTTTATATTAAAAATGTTTTTAATAACTGCGATAAATCTGCAGCTACTACTTAGATTTTCAGCAGTTGCAAACAGGCTGGAACATAGTTTAATTATTTTCTGATGTAAAATTTCCGAGTTCAATTTATTTTTCCTCCCTTATTTTCTGGTATTAAGAATCAAGATATCAAATAGTTCCTGAGTTTCAGTATAATAAGAATCCGCTATTATTTAAGACAATACTTATTCTTTCCATTTAAACAAGAGTGAAGCTGGGACAAAGTTTATATAAAATTTAGAGCTGGGATAGCTACTATTAATACGCATAAAAAGCTGCATTTTCTATGTTATTCAGCTCAAAGAACATCGAAGTATATTTTTAAGTTTCTATGCTTAGATTTTCAAAGTTTCTGTACTGAGTTTAAACGTCTTGCTCTGCTCCTAAAAACTGGAAATAGTTTATTTAATTTTTAAAGAAGAGCATCAGAAAAAAAAGAGAGATTTATTGCATTTTTTTTAATATATTGATCAAAATTATTAACAATGAATTCTGTTTTCTGAGTGGTAAAATTATAAATACTTGGTTTAATTTTACCTAAAATTTTGAATTCCTGTTTTTCTTCTTCCAACAGAAGAGCAACTAGTCCAAGTAATGGGAGATATCTTCAGCGCAGGAGTAGAAACAGTCACTTCTACTTTAGAATGGAGTATCCTATTCCTAATAAGAAACCCTGATGTTCAAGCTCGCCTTCGGGAAGAAATCGACCGTGTGGTAGGACAAAATCGGACACCAGAACTCGAAGATATGCCCCACATGCCCTACATGGAGGCTACCATCTTAGAAGTCCTTAGACGTGCCAATGTCATCGCTCTGGGCAATGCTCATGCCACCCTTGAGTAAGTCCACGTACTATTGCTGCGATACAGACATAAATGCTGTAAACCTATTTAAGAAATATATTTCTCAAATTTCCAAATATATTTCAATCATGTTAAATTTTCTCACATAAAAGGTTTTAGAATGAAATATTTTTCCGTTTAAGAAGTTCGCCCTAATCTTTCGGGAAATAATCTCTTCCTGCATGTTAAAAAAAGTTTTACTCAGTTTTCTCAGTTGGAACTAGAAACTGAAGTCTCTATCTCATTTTTCGAATATTGATGGCTTTTACCTGTTATTGTCAATGCCGCATACCAATTGTATATGATATGTGGTCAGTCAACCACATACCATATACAATTATATAATAAGTAACAAGATTTTGGAGCAAATTAGTTCTTTAAAATGGTTAGTACAGGTCGCTAACGTGTCGTCCAATTTTTTTCACTTTCTTTTCCAGTTTGTAACACGGAAAAGAGGGACGCTTAGAATAAGATTCGAATGATTAAAAAAAAATTAGGAAAAGCTCACTGCTTGAGTTTCGATTCCATCCCCACCCCACACACCCACACACACTCGCACACGATTTGTGGAATTTGAGATTACGAGCGTCTCATACTTCCCCCCCCCCTTTCATAATAATTTAATAACTTTTTAAGTAGTTAAGAAATGTTTCAAAAAGAAATTAATTTGTGTTTAAAATCAGAGTTATTTCTAATAAAGTAATGCTTTTCTTTATAGTGATACTGAACTGGATGGTTATTTGATTCCGAAGAACACTCACATCCTGCCAAACTTATGGGCGGTGCATATGGATCCCGAATTGTGGGAAAATCCGGAAGAATTTCGTCCCGAACGTTTTCTAGTCAATGGGCGGGTGGTCAAACCATCTTACTTCATGCCTTTCTCAGTTGGTAAGTATCAAAGCAATGTTTTCTAAAGCAGTTAAACAATATTTTTTATACCTTATCGTGGTGTTCCGAAGAGTTGCAATTCAGTTCTTGTAGTGCTGCCATCTGTCATAGTTATTTGAAATAATCTATTTAGTAGACTGTATTGACAATAGATGGCAGCACTATGAAAAGTACGTTTTTATACTTTCGCTTCTGAGCAATTTTAGAATCTTCCAAAGAAATTTATTTTATATTATTTTACTTATCAATTACAGTATTACTGTTTAAAAGTCTAATATCTTGAATTAAATTTACATTTTATAGCATAAAAATGTACAAACATAACCGATGTCTTGATTGTTAGCTAAATGCAAAGAAAAAGAAAAAAAATCTGGAAGATTTTATATTTACGCTACGCCCCAAAAGAATTTTTTTTTAACTTTTTGTGTGTTACCTTTATTTATTAAATACAATGCTCTTCTCACTTAAAAGACACAAAATTCTATTCAACAGCAATATCATAAAATATTTAAAAACAGCATATCTTTAGAATTTCCGATACACAGTCTATCCTGCTGGAGATAATTTTTTTTTTTTTTTTTTTTCGTACAATGTTGTCATTGCTCGCTTTGAAATCGTCGAGTTTGTTAATCAAAAATTATTTAAAGTTTTACAAAATTTAAAAGAGAGAATGAAACAAATTTGAAATTCAAAATTCGGGCTTCCAAGTGCCCATGTTCGGTTGGAGGACTACGTTATTCAAAATTTGATGGCTATAGGTACCGTTGTTTCTTCACAGTGCGAGAAACATTCATGCATTCATTCTTTAGTTTCTTTAAATATAATACACGGCGATAATATTTGGCGGCAACAGTTTGAAAGGTGAATCGACGTAAAATGGCTTTTCGAAATTAATAGCCCTTCTGGGCTAACGCCCTTTGGGCTAAAATAACTATTTCATAAATTTTATTTTTATCACAATTTATTTACGTAAAATATTAACAACTTACAACTGTCCAAAGAAACACTTCACAAAAACCTTGAAAATAGATATTTCCCTGCTTCTTTTCTTCATTTTTAATATATTAAACCATTACATTTACTCTCCATCATTTATTAAATTATTAAGCTAGAGGATTCACAACAAACATTATTATTTTTATATTATTCTTCTTGAAGTAATTTTACCCATTAATATTTTACATATATTTTTCCAGGTCGAAGAATGTGCATTGGAGATAGTCTTACTCGAATGGAAGTGTTTCTTTTCCTTTCCTGTCTTCTACAGGAATTTGAACTAAAAGTCCCTGAAGGCCATCCTCTACCTCCTGTTGAAGGAATCGCAGCTTTATCTATGACTGCCCAACCCTTCCAAATGTGCGCGATCCCAAGGCAATCCACGTGATAGGGATTTGAAGTAGCCATCGCATACGGATGATTCCTCATTTTCTGGCAGGTTTTTAACCCTGTCCTAGAATATCAGGTTCAGTAATGGTCATCACCATTGTGTTCATCCTAACAAATCTTATCAAAAGAAACTTTGTAAATAATGAATTTTATAGTCATGATAGCTGTGGCGTGACATCCAATTTTTGCCAAATAGTCTCTACCCATCATTTGAAAAATATTTAGAGTAGGTTATAGATATATTGTTTTAAACCTAGAGCGTTCGTCTATTTAGACGTTAAAAAGAAAGATGTTGTATTTTGGATTATTTAAGAAATTCCTTTCAAAAATAGGGTTTCTTTACAAATTATATAAAATGAGTTAAAAAAATCTTCTGTATATATTTAATATATACGTATATGAAAGTCATTTCCTGTAAAGAATTTGGTTTATGCGTACTGTTGATTTCAAATTTTGATGTCTTTTGTACAGATTATTATTTTGAAAATCTAGAGTCTATTAAATTATATAAATGGTCAAATTTGCTTGCACCGTTTAAATATTCAGATTGTTTTTAATTACACTGTCCATATATGTAAATATATATATCTTATACTTGCGTTTATCACGAAAACTGACATTTTTGACTAAATTGCATCGCAGTATTTTGAAATCGTCAATTTCAAACAGTACTTAACATAGAAACAATTCAGTTCAATAGAATAATAAAAATATGAGTCATTGTTACTTAATAAAGCATATATTATGCACACTGTTTTCATTTATCTAAACTGATATTATTCTTTCTACTAATAATACAATAGCACTGAAAGAAGATATTGTGAAAATGAACCATTATTATTATTTAGTAAAATATTTATTAAAACTGGAAATGTATATTAACTCGGTTATTTATTTTAAAAAGAAATAAAGATTAAAATGCTGTCAAAAAGTGAATAAAGTGTTTTATATTTTGACTTCTAAATAACATTCAGTCTTGTTTCTCCTTTAGAAATGTTAAATATATTTTGACGATTACGAAATTCTATGATGCAAACATTAACGAAAAGTCACAAGTATAAAAAGTACAAAATAAAGTGTATGTGTATCTATAGTCAGTAGTACAAATCAATAGTCATAATAATCTTTATTGTATGATGTAAGGTACACTTGCTATCTCTTACTTACTGCTCTTTGTCATATTATCTCAAAAATGTTCATAATACTTTGTAATCCTTATTTAAGAATGGCAAAACTAATTTTGCTTTCAAAATATTTTACGTGTAATAAGCCATTTCTCCCCTTGTGTCGGCACACAAGGATATTGTAAAATACAGCCTTTATTTAATTAAAATATGCTTTATGAATTTTTTTTAATATACTTTATCTATTTCTTCCATTGTGTAAATCCTATCACTATATTATTTCCTCTTTTTTTTCTTTTGAAAAATAAGTTCAAGGTACATGAGAATAAAAATAAAAAATAGATTATACCACAAAATGTAAAATACGGCATTAGAAACATATTTTATGAACTGCAAAATTTCTGCACATATTTTAATTTATATCACTTAAATATACTATTAAAAATAAAATATAGATGCAAGTTATTAATAAATGCATTTATTGCTTTTAAATTTCTCAGTTTGTTTGTTATTTATAGATTACTACTAAAGATAAATCCAACATATTGTTTTCTGCCGAATGGCAACACTCTGAGAATTTATAACTGAGGAGCTACATAGATCTTATATAAGTATATAATATTCAAATATGTGTCAAATAATTCAACAATTTTTGTTAAAGTAAATTTCTTCTTAAATCTCTTTAGTTTGTAAAATAGCACTCTGATTAATTAAACAATGAGAAATTTAGTTTCTCGTAAATAAATATATGTATATTTACCTTACTATTTTATTAGGTTTTTGTTATTTTTTAGATAAAAATGCTTCGATTATTTTTAAAATTTAAATGTGAGTTTTCTTCAGAATTTAATTTTCTTAATGAAAATGCCTATTTTAAAATGCTTCAAAAACCAAGCATTATTATAAACCACTCGTTTTCAAGCAATGTTCTGGGAAGCCACAGGATTTCAAGCAAGAGATTGTGGAAGTCAAAAATCAAAATTCTAAAAATATTTCAATCTGCATAGAACTCAAAACTAATCATATTGATAACTGATTAAAGAATATTTTCTTTTCTATTTTCTTTGTTACTTAAAATAAAATGAAGTAAATCTTTTACATTGTAAGGAAATAATGATTTTATATTCCACATAAAGTGCATGTACTATTGATATATCTTAAATGTTTCAATTTTTTTATGTTTAGTTTTCTAGAAATGATATGGAATAGCTTTAGAAATTTCATAAAAAATTATAGTTTTCGGGCTCCACAAAAAAGAGTTATAGTTCCAGGATTTGCAGATTCCTTAAAGTGTGAAGACCACTAGTGTAAACCGATAAATTCAAAATAAAAGTGCATCGTTCTGTCTTTGCTATAATAAAATAATATTATTCTTCCCTGCTTGAAGCTCGTGCTATATTTATGCAAAAATTCAATCTGTCCTGAAATACTATCTGCTAAAACAATATTCTGACTTTTGATAGTACTAGGCCAAACATTACGGTAATTTTTTTATTATAATTGTTTCCGGTCTTCTTTTAAGCTTCAAATGCACAAATCCTTAACGTAATGGTTTAATGTTACTTTTTGGCTTTATCTAAGCAGCAAATGTGTCACTGTATAAAATGTTTAATGTTATTTTATATATATGATGATTCTCTAATTTGTTTGTATATGTGATGATTCTCTAATTTGTAAATAAAATTTATATTCTTATATACTTGTGGCTATTGCTTTCCTTCTTCCAATTTAAAGAATCGTTAAGATTGAACTCGGTTGCTAAGATCTTCGCATGTAATTCTAAGTAATAAATGCATTTAATTAAGCATTTAAAATTTTAACGAATTTAAATCCGAACAAGATTTATTTTTACTAATTTTCCTTACTGTATTCTAATTACTTACTATACGATTAAGCAACAACTACAAATTGTTTCAGAATTGTTTTTATTAAAGTGTTTTATTAAATTGTTTTTATTAATTGCTTCATTTAATTAATAAAATTCGGGGAAAAGTTTGCATTAATAAAAAAAAAAATCTGTCTGCAGACTAAGACGTTTCATATCCAAGGCTGCCAGAATCTTGTGTCCGATTGTTTAGTGGGTAATTAAAGTATTTTCTAGCTATTAGGCAATATCTATAATATCAATATTATACAGGTTCACCAAGAGCGACTAATACGACTTCATGAGTGACGAATACGACCTGTATAACATATACTATATTATGTGAAATGAACTGAAAATGCTTCTATTTAATTCAGTCTCTATAAACGGTTTTGTGGAAGTAATTTCTCTTAGCAACATTTGCCAAATATGTGTCTCTGAATTTTAGATAGGCCTGTCAACAGTTGTATTAAATCATCGATATGAGACATGTGGAAAGAATGCATGCCCTTTAAACGATTGCACCAAGATTCCATAAGTCTGGACTAGAAGGTTTGAGCCTTTGTGATAAATCCCGCAATAGGCGACCACAGATATTGAATGATAAGGCCCTGAAGTGAAAGAACTGAGATGGACATCAGTCGAACTTTCTGAAAGATTCCGGGATTTCGAGGAAACAGTCAAACCTCACCTGCACTTTATATGGAAGATGTGCAAGTTAAGCAAGGGGGCACCCAAACATTGTAGGAAACCAATAAGGAACAACAAGTAACAATGCCGTTGCCTGTCTCAGCGCCGCAATACGCACATATTTGGCCTAGTATTCATGATTGATAAAATGTGGGTGGCACTTCCAAGCATACCAAACAATGGCTTGTCACTACGTCACTCTGTGCCTCAATCCCGAAGATACTGCTGCACCCATACAAAATCATCCTCTGTGTCTGGGTGACCCTAGTGGGTAAATGCTGCATTACGAGCTACTGCTACTAAGCTACACCGTCACTGAGGGCCTGAACTCGCAAGAGTTTCAACGGATACTACATGCAATGCAGCAAAAAAAGCTAGCTCCGGCTAATTGCTAGTTTTTGCTGTACTTTCATAGAAATGCAAGGCCACGCGTGGCAAGGAAAACCAGGGATACTATTCACAGACTTAACTGTAAGACAATATGTTCACCGGACTTATCACCCACAAATTACCACCTACTCTGTTCCCTGAACACCACCTCCGTGAAAACTTTTCAGGATTTCTTTCTAATCATTCTACAGAGGATCCACGAAGGATTTCTGATCAGTCTCATGAGATCTTCCTTCGACTGGAGGTTATTATCCAGTACACAGAGGTGAACTGTATGATCACCTCCGTGGGAAAATGAGGCAGACCTGAGTCACGAATTCACGGACTACCTCGCTTCAAAAACTCTGTTTTGTCGTCAGTTCTTTGCATAAATACAGGAACATGGGCGAAAGGTGCTAGATAAAGGTTGTTTTGAGAAGTAACGCTGAGTATTATGTGTGTTTGTCTGTTTCCGACGATCCCAAATTGCAAGAATACCTTGTAATAGGCTTCCAAATCATTCTATAAATCAATTGTAACACTTTTAAAAAAGGTTTTATATCATTAACATTCTATACGTTATTTCTCATTAAACCAGAGTATTTCAAAAACTAATGAAAACAAACTTTGAGGGATAATAGAACGCACTTAAATAAACACTAAACATAATACTACGGCTAGGTGTTGGAGGGATACAAATGTAAAAGATTTCAGGCTAAACTTGACAACATCAAATTAAAAATCTTGGAATGCAAAATGCATCAGATAGGGAATTTTGAACTTCTAAATGTTAGTTATGGTTAATTAATTCTAAACGTTCTTATTTATTATTCTTATGTTATATTAATTAGTTCTAAAAGTTCTTATTTATTATTCTAGTGTTATGTTAATTAGTTCTCAAAGTTCTTATTTATTATTCTTATGTTATGTTAATTCGTTCTAAATGTTCTGTTATGGGTGTAGCACGACTGTCCTGAAGTTATCAAGACTTCTTTGTTTCCTCCGGACTAAGCCCTAGCGCACGCATATAGATTGAATTGGACAAGAGAATAAGGAAACATGACATTTCTGCGAAAACGTTCAAGTTAGAGAAATTTTGTCGGAGGAAAGAAACAAAACCGAATAATATAAAAGAAATCTTTAGTTGAATCCGAGCTAGAGTGCATAAACAGAACATCTAAATTAAAAGACATGTAAATTAATATTACATATCCTCTTATTTGCATTTTTTTAATATTATTATAATAATTTGTTTTCTAAATATACGAATACATACGTAAATTTATTTCATTGTTTGCAACAGTTTTTAAATTATTATTTTATTTTAAGAAATTTTTTGAAATTTTTTTAATTAAAAAATCTACTGTCAGTTAATCACTAAATAGTTAGCAAATACTTTTTAAAATAAATATCAAAAACGCAAATATCATGAACCGAATGCGAGCCACTGTACTTTGCCCAAAGCTATTTTTAACTTCAAACACCTTCGTTGGGAGAGGGGAAGTTTATTTAAGGAAGTTCTGCTTTGAAATGGCGAAAAAACGCAGTTACTCAGTTTTACAACCACTAGTTATCCTTTCTCAAACGGAAATGAATAATCCCTTCTGCTAATGGCAATAAGAGTAAAGTGCGATGGAATTTAAACCGCCGTAAAAAAAGAAAAGTATGCGTATTATTAACATCCTCTTCTGTTACAATTTCACACTTGTCATATTTTCGAATAAATTTATGTTCCTGAAGCCCGATAACGATGCTTCCGGTTTAGTGTAAAGACAGTGAGTGACTTTAATATATATATATATATATATATTACAGTTAACATCCTATTAACTGGCGGTGAATGGCGAATTAACTAAATTTAAAAACTGTATTAAGACTGCTCATAATGAAACAATGGAAAAATTGTGATCACTATTTATCAGTGTAAAACAAAACTGTCTACGAAAAACACGGAAAAAATTTTTAATTCTTGAGATAACTACAGTGATAACAAGTGACATCGTGGTCATTTATATGTTAGTTTTTTTATATCTAATATGTATTCATCCTTTATACACTGCGAGTTCTTTTTCTTTTGAATATGCGTTTAATTTGCATAGCCACGTGAAGTAATTCTCCACATTCAACTGCTTCAAAATATGCATAAAGATTTAGCAGAATTTTTCAGTTAATTATAAAATGGGCTACTCCTAGCGTTGCCACCTCTTGGCTGTCAAAATCCGGAAGAGGTAAAAAAGTTTCTGGGAGAAGAAAAAAAAGTTTTTTTTCAGTCGGAACTGAAAAAAATCTCCTCCTTAATCTCGTTTAAAAGTATTTTTTGAGCTGCAGGAGCAAGCACACTCTCGCAAATACTCGTACATTTTGTTCTACCACAAGAAATCGTTTTTGGCAAAGAGGAATCTCGAAATTGAGTGCTGTACAATTTGTGCAATCCTGGCTATTAAAAGTGTGATGGTGCTTAATCCTATGATAGACTGAAATAATTTCAATTGCTTATATATTTTCCTGTTCTTCTGAAGATTTCTTCAAGAAAAAGTTTGAAACCGATTGCGAAGAATCCCTATTCAGTATTAACGACTGGTGTTTCTTGCTTTGGAAATGTACAGTTAAAGCTCTAACATCCTTGTACTTAATATTAACCGTTTTCCGACATACTTTACATTCTCCGTTAAAGTTGCCTCTCTTCATAAGCTAATCAAATTGAGTTAGCCACCTGTCTTAAAAACGACGTCGAATATTTTGTCTTCTTTTTTTTTTTTTTTTTTTTTTTTGTGTGTGTGTGTGTATCTGGTACTTGTTCACTTGCAGAATTAGAATCGTTTTTTTCACTACACATTATTATGAAAGCATTTAAATAACTTCAAAATACGCACTTGTTTGTGCATAGCTAGCTAACTGCAGACTAAATGAAAGAATGGATTGAAAATGACAGGGTGAGGGGAGATGAGGGCGCGTGCGCCATAGGCCGACATGAAACCAGGACTCATCCCGTAACTCACCGTAGATCGCTGCTGCAAAAAATATATGTTGACAATAGACGTTCTTTGGATGCTGTCGCGGTCGTGTGATTTTCGATGCTCTCAACCATTTCGTCCATGCAGATTGTGTCGTTATTTTCGAGAAACGTGATATTCCGGAAGAGTAATATATATTTTAAATTCCTTCCGGAAGCCGGGAGATTTTAATTTTCAGGATTCAGTTCCGGGAGAATCCCGGAATTCCGGGAGAGGTGGGAATCCTAGTTAATCCTCTTTGTTTTTTAACTAAACTCTAATTAACCCTAGTTTTTAATTTGTCGTGGATATTGACCTTGGAATTATTTCAGTAAATCTGAAGTTAACTCTACAAAATATTAAGCATCCGTATATTTTATTAAGCGTGCCTCCTTTCAAATTTTAAGTAGTTTCATATAACATATGTTTCAGAGTCCATTAGATATTGTGCACGAGGTTTGAAGCAAATATTTCCCTTGAGAGAAATATATTCACTTGGGGGAACAAATATTCTCTTTGAGGGAAAGCTTTCTATTTCTTCAAAACAGAAATTTCGAGAAGTAAAAACAATAAACACCTTCAAGGTTTTTAAAAATATCTCCAGGTGCAACTAACTAAAAATAGTTCTGCGAGAAAACATTATAAAATATGCATATGATTATCGTGCAAGAAATGTTAACATGCAGAAAAGGTAAGTTACTAATGAAATTTTCGGAAAACCTGAGGCAGAGAAAAATTACTGGATTTTCGCTTTAAAATATGTTAGTTTAACAGTAAGCATAC